GATATTATGAGGTCCAGGAGTCTGGGAAAGTGAGTCTTAATTTGTACAATTCAACATAAGTTTGTAGAAGCTGTTATCAAAAGACTTCCTCCCAGAACTGAGAAGCTCTTGTGACAGCCGAAAGACCTTGGGTAAGAACAGGCACAACCTGGAATCTCTAGGATGTTGATTCTTTTGCGTATGGGAGGGATGCTCCCACGTGCAAAGGCGTAAGAAAAGGAGATCTTCACACAAAAAGAGGAAACTTAGTTTGATAGGGTCAAGGTGATGACTGATACCTTGACTCTGCCCCACTTGACGACTAAATAGTGTTGTGACCTTAAACAAGTCCTTTTACCCCCTCTCACCTCAGGGCTTATGTCTAAACACATTCCATCGATATAAATGCATTCCATCGATATAAATGCATTCCATCAATATATTCTATGATTAAGAGTCAGTGCTTCACCAGACAGTGGTGGTACACGCCTTTAATCCCAGCACTCAGGAAGCAGAGGCAGGTGGATCTCTGTGAGTTCAAGGCCAGGCTGTTCTGCAGCCAGGACAGCCAGGGCTACACAAAGAAACCCTGTCTGGAAACAACCCCCCCCCACCCCCAAAGAGTCTGCTTCAATGCTATCTCGGGTCAGGAGTGTTGCCAGGAAGAAAAGACTCCCTTCCCCACTCCTGCTGGGACCAAATTATCCCCAGGCACTCCTCTCAATGCCACCATAGCTAAGAGAATAAAAAGTTCTGTGGTTTGCATCAGATGATGCTGGTCTACAGAAAGCTCCCTTGACTTTTTCTACAAAGCCTCTTTGCTGTTCATTAATGACAAGAAACAGGACCACTCGCAAGCCAACAATGATTAGTGAGAATGGCACCTCATCTACAGGCCAAGCATCTTCCTGTCCAGTACTCAGCCACCACTGGCATTTCTTCTCAAAAACCAGCGCACTCCAATGTACATCCTCATCCAATGGGGTCCACTGTGGAAAGGGAAAGACTGTCCTGGTAGGTGACATATTTCACCACTATCCTCTGAAAGTCTTACTGCCACCCAGGGCACCCCCAGAGAAGACAACAGAGGAATGAGGAAGTGGATGGAGGCTATTCTGACAATCCCCAAATCGACATCGTCTTTATCAATGGTGCCTATTTACCAACTGATACACTAAGTCAACCGTTGTAGATTTCTTTTGTCAGGGGTCATTTCTTAACCTTCAGGCCATTCTTATGCAGGCAGTTGTAAAGGTGCATCGTCTTCAGGGATTGCAAAAGAGAACCAATGTTGGTAAGTCCAAAGAGCTTCCCAGGTAAACCATAGCTACTGAGAACACTGATACAGAAACTTGGTGAAGTGGAGGAAAGGTCTTTCTTACTTTTGCCCATACAAGTTAATATCCAACCAGAAACACGGGAAATCCCTTCCATGGTCCCTTTTACTCAACAAACAGTTGGTATCATTATTACAAAACTGGGTAAGTCACATTTCTAGTCTGGAGGGGAAGACATGAATCAACGCAAAAATATGAACCCAAGATGTCACTGGAGTTACCAAAGTGTTTATGACTCAACTAGCCTTGGGCAATCCAAAGAAGCTTCAAAAATAGAAATGATACTTCACCTGCCATTTATCATATCCTTGATCACCCACAATATCTGACTTGTCCTCCTTATGCCAAAGCCTTTTCAGTGTCTAGATTCTGAGTGACTGAGGATCCAATAACGTTTCTCATTAGAGTAACTAGCAATTACATGTGAGCGTGTGCATGTGTGCCACATGTGTCTTCTTTGGAGCGTGCACTCTTGTTTGCATCTGTCCATAAGTGATGCCAGGCTGAGAAATGAAGCAAAATGCAGCTCCCAGGAGATGGAGAGAAGGCAGAGGAAAAGCTTCTTGAAGAAGGAGTGTGTCCATGAGTTCATCAGAGATCAATGGCAGTGAGTTCTTGTGGTCAGTAAGGTTGCCAGATAGAATAAAGATAGCAAATTAAATTTGGATCTGAGGTCAATGGGCGAAAGGGTTTTCTCTTAGTGCAGGTATGTCTGGACTATTGCAGGCATATTCCTGAGGCTTATTTGCTGAATCAGGCAATCCTGAGGGCAAGCACGCCAACCACCTTCCTTCTTTGTCATGAATACTACCAATATTAACACAAATTGACATTTTAAGCACCTGCAGAATGAGGTCCACCCACAATGGCATGCCTGTAATTGCAAGTTCTTTGACATCAGGTAGTACACTGTATTCCTCCTTCTACAGGACCTGGGTGCTATGCCAAACACTTCAAATGAAGTTTGAATCAATAAGTATACCAGATGAATGGCAGTAAAGGGAAAGTGCTTAAAAATAACAAAGCCACTCACACGGGGCTTCGCATCTATTGCAATGTTCTTCACCTAGGACAGAAATGCCTTAATGTAGCAAGGCACCTGCACAGTGGCTGAAGTGTCCTAAACAAGTGCAAAATATACTGAGCACCACAGTGAACTGGAGTGCTTGGAGAGGACTGTATTAAAGTAGAGAGCAACACTTCTACAATCATTTACTTCAAAAACTTATAATTAAGGAAGGCAGGACCTTGCACAAGCCCCAAATGATAGGCCAGCTCTACCTGGAACTCCTTGAACTGGAAGTTTTAGGTGGGAATGATAAGCCTAAAGTGTAGGTAAGAAAGCAGGGCCCTCAGAGGTGCTTCGCACTTTATCGACACGGTGTGCTCATGTGTAATCACGGATGTTTGTAGATATGCACAAACGCGTTTCTGTGTAAAAAGCTACGAGGCCAGTACACTGAGCTCCCATATAATTCTACGTTGTCCATAGCAACAGAACTGGACTGAGACTTAGGGAAATTCACATGTGCTATTTAAGTAGAAATGTTTAAGTTGATTCTGCTTCACTTTCTCTTAAAGATGTTTAAAACAACAACAGCAACACTTGCTAACCACAGAAAACTTAATAAAATGGGCCAGAAAAAAAAAAGAAAAAAGAAAACCACTCATTTTTCCAATCAGAGATCAGACACAAAAATTTTAGGATATATACCTCAAGGTTCTTCTTTTCTGTCCAAGTTTGGAAATAGCCACATTTAACAAAAATGGAACTAGATTCCATCTTACCAAGAAAGTTTCTTTTCTGTTTGCTTGTGGTTTGTTGCTGTGGTGGTGGTGGCTTTGTTTTGTTTCCCAAGACCGGGGTTCTCTGTGGAGACCCAGCTGTCATGGTACTCACTCCAGACCAGGCTGGCCAGACTCAGAAATCCACCTGCCTCTGCCTCCTGCCCAGACTCAGAAATCCTCCTGCCTCTGCCTCGTGCCATGATGAAAGGCATGCGTCACCACTGGCAGACCAAGGGAGTTTCTTTTAAGAAACAAAATATAGACATCAAAGTGACCCAATATATTCCCAAACATAACTTTAGTGTTTGTGCAGATGCTTTTCTTAACCAAGTGCTTATAACCTTGTTTAACAACCAAATCTTTAATGGCATCACCATTCTTTGGGCAAGAGGATGGAGAAACTAGAAACTCTAAGAGAAAGAATTACTGACAAATAATTAAAACTAATGTATACTCTCATATATAGAGCCTCTTTCCCTGATATTGTTTTTTGACAATCAGTCATGAAGAGAAACTGTGAAATTAGAATTTCTATAGAAAGAGCATGGAGAGGAATATCTGCAATATTTCCTGTTTTCAAGAACCCAGTCCATAATCCACAGTTTAAGAAAGTCATCCACAATTAGCTTTTGATCCAACCAAATGAGTAAGAAGGATTTTTAATCCAGAATTTCAATCACAGTCCACTATCATAGAACTCTAGTGCTTCCCATTTCAATAGAATACCACTGAAAACTCTTTAATTTCCTTTTTTTTTCTTCAAAAGTAAGAAAATAAGCTAGGGTCTTTCAAAGTCATACTATTTTACTTTCTGCAAAAAAAAAGAATCCATTTGATCAGACCATAATCCAAAGAAGATTATTTGGTCAAACAAAGTAAGCACCATTAATGGCAGACGACCATCATAGCATGGCCATAGCAACCTAGGTATGAGTGAGCTAGCTGAAATGGGTGACCTTCTACCCAAATGTCTTATGGGTGAAAAAGAAGCAGAACAAACAAAATACTTCACAGATTCCAGAACCACTAAGTAAGAAGGGAAGAGATTGAAGGAATTTTTTAAATACCGTGTCTTATCTAAATCTGTATCTAAACTATATAAAAAGGGAATTGTATGACACTACAACAGAAAAACTAATAAAGCAGAAAAACTATTCTCAAGTACACAACCCACCAGCAGAAGACTGCTAAGACGCAGGTATATGAAATGTACCCCAGAGTGAATACGGTGAAAAGAAGGCATAGTCACGAAGTATTCATTTCTGTCAACAGAAAACTAAGCCGATTTCATCCTGTATTTTCTAAAGCTATGCTAAGTTGACAGACGCAGCTCATTATCCTTTTTGAGATCCAGAGCAATTAAGAAAAAAAGAAAGAAAATGTCTAAATACAAAAGCTGAACTTGTCAAGATTGGGAAAAGCTACACTATGTTATTGTTAGTGAAGCAGTCACCAGTAGTCACAGTCATTTGGTTAATGACTAATTCAGCTAAAATAGAAATTTGTCTATAGGATCAGGTACAAAAATACCGTTTTCAGAAGGATCATTATGTCTCTGATGAATTGGGTGATTTTTTTTTCTTCTAGTTTTGGGAACTGAATTTGGGGCCTTAGCAAACATCCTACAACAAAGCTACACCCCAACCCCGTGTGTCAGCTTTGTTATGATGAGTCTTCTTTGCTGCTGGGATGGGTCAGCTGGGAACCTAAAGTAATGCTTTGCTCACTTAAAATAGAATGCCTGGAGGCAAAGGACTTGGAATCTAAGTGAGGAAACCCCTCCCACTGAAGAGAAACAGGTATATAAGCCCACGAAAGAATAGGTAAAACATCACTATCGATCCTGAGTCTTATAGATTTTCTACTTTGGAAAAAATACTGAGCACGAAGGCTGAGATGACTCCAGAGCGTTTATGGCCAGTGGTCCTTGTGGCCCTATTCGTTATGCCCATCCATTCTCTGAACTGTGTTCTTCTGGAGAATGCCACCTTGGAAAGTGTGAGACTTCTGGGAAGCATCATCATCTGCTCTCCCCTAAAATGTCTAAAGGAAATCAAGAATTTTGAGTTTCCTAAAGAAGTCCTTCCATACATCCAGCATGTGGAAAGGGACATGAAGGAGGCCTTCTTTATTATATCTAGCCAAGCGCTGAATATTTTCTTCAGTCACAATAGCCACATCTCCCCAGTGACAGCGGAGCGCCTACAACACATCAGAATGGGGCTTTATGAACAAATGCTGCAAGTGCAAGACTGCTTTAAGGATGAGGAGAAAGAGAGCAAGGAGGGGGACAATAAGCCGGAACACCCCCCACCAAAGCACCTCCAGAAGGCCTACCTGGAATTGAGCAAGTATTTCATCAGAATCAAGAAGTTCCTGAGAGATAAGAAATACAGTGTCTGTGCCTGGAAGATTGTCACAGCCGAAATAAGAAGATGTTTTACAATATTTTACAACTTCAAAAAACTACTGAGAATGCGATCAGGTATGTTTTCAGAATTGCATTTCCCTCCATATTTCCCTCCTTCATCTTAAGCATGCCTGTGCTGCGCATGATGTGGCTGGATCCTCAGCTGGACTGGTCCTTGATGGCATGTTTGCTGTCTCTGAGGCTTGACCTTGGCACATTAGCTACATTCACTCTTTAAGCAGAGGCAAAGCTAGCCATGTTAATCAGTGCCAGGTGACCCCAGTAATTTCCTTAGAAAGTACTGGAGACAGGGTGAAAGGAATACGGTTCCCTTCCATCTTCTCTCTCTTCCACTTTCCTTTGCCCTATTGGCTTTCCTCTGTCATGGAAGAAAGTTTCCAAGACAGTAGTTATACAAATAAAGGAGGTTTGAAAAGGCAATATCTTTTGATGTTTGAAAAACAAATCATCTCTCTGCTACCCAAAGTTGTTTATTCTATGACAGTTCACCACATTAACAATCTACATCCAATCTATAGACTTAAAAACTCTTTTTTTTTTCCACCACCTCCTTTCTAGAGGAAGAAAAGAAATGATTGAGATCGTTTATCAGTTTGGCTTCTTTGAAATGATCCAGTTTAAAGAATGGTAAGTTGTTACTTTAAAAGTCAAGGTCCAAAATGAAATCTGGATGGATAGTTGAATCCGTTGATCATTAAGCTCCCCCTTAGTTTTTGAGAGTCTGTGATTCTAACATGGCAGTACTTGCATCATGCCCAGAGGATATTGCTTGCCTCTACATATTCAGGTATAGAAAAGTCTACGGATGGAGCATAAAGTACTTGGCTGGAATCCTCAGAACTGCAGTGGGGTTTAGAGGAAAGTGTAGAAAATGCTGGAGAAATTAGTGACAGTCTCTCATAGGGGGTGGTTTTCTTCCTGTGTGCAACTAAAGTGAGTATCTAGAGTCAAATTAAGGGGGAATTTACGTTGGTGTTTGATTTTCCCAGTTGGAAAGCTACTTTCTGTCAGTTAAGTAAATTAGCCATTCTAACAACACTTGGTACTTTAATCACTTTTATCTTTTTAAAGTTATTTTGTATCCAGATTGCCTAGATTATTCACTTAATTTTTCTGTTTTTACTCACTAGATGAATTTTCCTCTCCCCCCACCCGTCATATTTCAGAATCATCCATCTTCAGGCAAGAACTTAGAAACTGACTGCTCAAACGTACTCAGGAACCCTCTCTGCTAAGGCTATTACCAACATGCTGCTAAACTCCAGACTCAAGACTTTCCAAGTGCAAGATTCAAGACAGTACACTCAGAGAAAAGTCCTATGGCAAAAACAAAAGACAAATTTCAGTGGGAAAGTTAGAAAAAATGCTAAATTCAAAGGACAAACCAAGTTGTGGATTATGGCATTTAGGTTACCAGCACAAGAATCAAGAGAATAAAATGAGTTAACACAGTCTATTTGGTATAAGAGCTCATCAATAACATCATTTTAGACCAGGATCATGGCAGTGGGGAGGGAGGCAGGACATACAACCTCAAAGCAGTATACACAGTATTTTCCACTCATTTCCCTGACTCCTTTGCCTGACCTCCATGACAGTTCTACCAAGATGGCAACAGCTGCTGTAGTAAATTATGGCTGCTGCCCTGCCTTGCCCTGCCCTGGCCTGGCCCGGTGTTTGATCTATGCCAGGGAACAGAATTGGCTGAGTGTGGTGGAAATGCAGCTGAGTGGTGAATACATTTCCAGTTGTGTGAGGCCCAACCCTTCAGGAAAAGAAGTGGCCAAGAAGGCGCAACATTTTCCAGTCAGAGCAGACTGTTTGACAAAGAAGGACAGAAGTCAGAACCACAATCTTCTCATAGAGTACATGTTATCAAAAGAAAGACCAATCCCACCGAAAAGTAACTAAGGACACAAACAACAAAAAGGAATGTTAGTCGACAGTATAAAAACTGGCTTTTTTCTCACTTTTGATTTAAAAAGGGCTCAACAAACCCAAATACTAGATGGTATATTACTGAGATCAACCAATGTATTGCTATCACACGGTGATTTCATTCACTAAGGTTTGGGGCTTCTAACAGCATCATTTAAAGCTGTAACAGGGCTCTATTGCCAAAAGAAATGGAGACCTGCTGCTTAATGATTTGAATAAAGACACTTAAACCCCCACCCCAAAACTGCTCAATAAGGCAGCAATAAAATATTCCCTCCTCCATTAACACAACAGAAATGGAAAACAATGATAACTGATAACGCTGAGGGCCAGTAGAGTATAGATTCTCTTACATATTGCTGGAGACAGGACAAACTGGCATGTGCTTCCTATGGGCGGTACCGAAACCTTCAATGACCTAAAATGTGTGTCAATCTTGCTATATCTCAAGAAACATATTCCAAGGAAATGATTGGATAAGATTGCTATGCACTGGAGCTTGGCACATACAGTTTTTAACCTTTCACCTGTGAATTTTCTGTCTTTCCTACAATAAGTTTTTGGAGAAGTCTTTTGGTTCTAAAATTAAGGAAACCGAACACACTTATTTTCCTCTATAATGACTGTGTTTTCCTTCCTGGCAGGCTGGGCCAAGCCCTGCCTTTAACTATAATGATGCCTCTCTGGGACTCCCGGAGCAAACAGCAGGTCTTCAGCGGGTCCCGTTTGTTACTCTGCTGCTACTGTTAAATTTCAGAGACTTTTCACCTTGCGGGCAGCTGCCTTTATAAACGTTTAGAGAGCGTGCTGAGCACTTCAGAAATTTGCTGGTTTTCTTTTCGGGGACCCACGGGCAAGATCTAGAAACCGCGGAAAGTTTCTCCAGATAGTCTCTCTTGAGTTAACAGTCTCTCAAAGAACTTTTTAGTAACGGGCAAACCAGAACTTAACAGGTCTGAAAGACGGCTGGGGCGTATGGGGCTCAGTACAGAGCACTGGCTTACCCGGCTGAGGCCCCATCCCCAGCAAGGGCATTGGGCAGGTACACAGGTCACAGGTGGCTCCGTATAAGCCTCCTATCTCCCCTGAGTTGAAGGGGGAGGGGTCAAAACTTAGAAGCCGGAAAATCACATTTCTTAGAAGGGCTAAGGTTGGGAATCCCACAGGAAAAACTTTTCTCTTGCCAAGATTTCTCTCTCTCTCTCTCTCTCTCTCTCTCTCTCTCTCTCTCTCTCTCTCTCTCTCTCTCTCTCTCTCTCTCTCTCTCTCTCTCTCTCTCTCTCTCTCTCTCTCCCTTTCTCTTTTTTATTTATTCTTTGTGTCTTTCACATCAGGCATCTCGATCTCATTCACCTCCCCGCCCCTTCAAGATTTCTTAATAAATAATCCACACTCTAACAGCACTACGTAGAAGCGCCCAAATTATTCCTGGGAAACCGACCTCCTATAGCCTAGCAGGCGCCCCCCTCTGGAGAACCAGGGTCTACCCCAAGCCACCTGCTCTCAGGCCAGAACACTGCTGGGGCCACATCTGCCACCAGCAGAGTAGTCGTGGCCTGCTGTTTCTACATCGCTGGGAGAAATCTGGGACTTAAACATGGAGCCTTAGACGATGTCAGGAGTCCACGAACATTTCACAGCTAGTGACGACACCGCTATTTCCAGGCCTTCCCAGGTCACCTCGGTTTCCACTCATCCGTGGCCAATGACTGCCCCTAGAGAATTTGCCGCCCCTGAACTTTCCGTCCAGATTTGCCCGCGCCTATCGCCCGGGTTGTGGGCCACGCACAGGCGCTTAGCTAGCCACTGGAAGTCCTTTGGACCTCCTCGCAGATCTCTTGGCTTTCGAGAACTTCGCTTCTGTTCTCTCGACCCGACACCCGTCTCGGATTCGCTGGGGATAAGATCTGAGAAATGCGCCCTGGGCCACAAGCAGCCTCGGAGGCGGGGTTAGGAACAACTTTCCCTCCGCCCTCTAACCGCAAACCCCGGGTGGGGCGGCCTAGCCCGGTCCCGATCCCCCTCCTTCGCCGGCGGGGATCTCTGACCCGAGTCCGCGGAAAGGCCGCCGTGGAGCGGCCAAGGGGGGCTTTCCTCTCCGCTGCAGCCCCACCAGACGTTAGGGGCGCGACAATAGTGGACCCGCGCACTAACAAAAGGCCATTCACCGGATAGATGAGGACGGCTCAGCCGCCGTCTCCGCGGGGCAGACGTACAGAGGGCTCCGAGAGGGGGTTGGGGGAATCCTGAGTGGTCCAGAGCCTCTGCCACGCTCCAGGGGGCGGGAGCCGCTCTTTACCACCCAGCCCTGGGGGTCAGTGCTGGGGAGGAGAACTAAGCAAAGTTTTCGTTTTCTCCTTCTCCAGTGCAGGAAAGGGAGGGGCTGCGATTCCAGATGCTTGACAGTTGTTGGCCCCAAAGTTGAGCAAGACTTATTTGTTCCTAATACCCTCCGTTCACCAGGCATCAGTAGCCTGGGGACAACCCGTGACCTGTAGTCCCACGCCGCCCCGTGCTGGGTTTCAGGAGCCCGGGCGCATCCCCCTGCATCGATGCACTTTCGTAAAAGTTTCTCTGCTCGCCGCCTCAGGCCGACGCGCACCCTACCCCGCATCTGCGATTCAGGAAGGGTTCGGGTGAGATTTGCACCCTGAAAGGAGGTGGGGGTGGGGGTTTCAAATCAAAGCCAAGGACCCCTGGGTGGGAACAGGACTCACGTTCCAGCCCGGGAAATGCGTACCCGGAGGCATAGAGAAGCCAAGGAGCCCGCACCGGTCTAAACCAGACTCCAACCCCGGAAGCTCGCGAACGAGGGATGAGGACCGGCGGTTGATCCGGGCGGTTGATCCGCCCCAGGTGTGCCCCGCACCTCAAGCCTCCTGGGCACAATCCGGAGCGGGGAGCTGCGGGACTGCACCGCCTCCCCGCTCTCGGGAGGGTTACTTACCGTGAGCTTTTAACCTTCAGCCTAGGGCCCTGCTGTCTTCCTTCGCACGGGCAGCTGCAGCTGGAGCGGGAGAAAAAGTGAGCTCCTCCAGCCGGGGCAGCGACGCTTGGCAGATCCACGCGAGGGGCTTCCTGGCCAGCACGCGCGACTCGGGACGCAGCCGCCGCGCCTCCGCTGCAGCCCCCACATGCACCGAGCGCGCCGCGCAGCCCGCCCGGGCGTCTCTGCAGGTCATCGACTGGGAGCGGAGTCCCCTGGCGGCCTCCTCTGGAAAGGCAGCTGCTGGGGGCAAGAGGAGTCTTGCTGCCTTTAGGATCCTCTGATCTCCACTAGGGCCTGAGACAATGTGCAGTCTAAGAAGTCTCTCTACCGCTGACCAGCGTAGCTAAAAAGATGCCAGACTAGAAGAGATGTTTTCCTGGTTGGGTTTTTGTCAGCTTGACAAAAATCTAGGAAGAGGGGATCTTAGTTGAGAAAATACCACCTTAAGATAGCCTATTGGTCTGTCCGGCTTTTTTTTTTTTTTTTTTTTTTTGATTAATGATTGGCGAGGGAGGACTCAGTCCACTGTGGGTGGTGCTAATTTGGGGCAGGTAGTCCTGGGGTGTCTAAGAAAGAAGGCTGAATAAGCCGTGAGAAGCAAGCCTGTTCTTCCGTGACTTCTGCTTCAGTTCCTGTTTCCAGGTAACTGCCTTGAGTTCCTGTCCTGACTTCCCTTTATGGCAGACTATGATCGGAATGCATAAGCCGCATAAACCCTTTCCGCCCCACACTGGTTTTGGTCGTGCTGTTTTGTTACAGCAATAGAAACCCTAACTAAAGTTCACAAAAACTTTTCCCAAGGTACCCAAAACGGGCCAAAGGAATTAACCTCCTTCAAAATTTTCTGACTGTTGTTAAATGCCTTGGGCTGCCTGACACACCTTAGAAATTGCTTTAAATCATTGAAAAACAAAATGCTTGGAAGTTATACTTACCTCACAGGGTGGTTGTTAAGAGTAAACCAACTCTAAAAAGTATTCTTAGTTCAGGGAAGGAGTCTTGGAACATGAGCTGACTTTCTCAGAAAAAAATGAAGTGGATTTGTCTACATGCCTTTATTCTCTTACATAACATCTTAATGCAGACCAGTTAGGTAGTATCAAATGACTAGGTATTGCATTCCATAGTCCCTACTACACATTTTTAAAAATGGAGATAAATTAGGTGGACATATGTATATACTTATATATGGAAATGTATGTACATATATTACATATACATATATTTATTTCCACCTCTCCCTCCTACCAGCCTTTCCATCACAAATGTCTCTCTATGTGTAATGCCTCTCTAGGCTCTAACAAATGTTTGGGACATTCCTGCCACAGGGCCTTCGTACTTATAATGCACTCTGTCTGGAATAGTGTTCTGAATTCCCCAGTCACATCGTAACTCAGAGACTACCTTTTCCCTCTAGTCTTTGCTCAGAGGCTTTCCCTTTCCACCTCATTTATTCTTCTTTGGGACTGTGCCTACACACACACCTGCTCAAGTTTTCTCCATTAAATGTACTGTCATCAGACACTAAATAATGCATTTTGTTCATTCCTCACATTAGTTTTCTATGGGAAGAATAAGCCAGAAACTTAAAGACAAAAACCAATCTGAGCAGGGTTAGAGATGGCTCAGTAGTTAACAGTACTTGCTGCTGTCCCAGAGGACTGGAATTTGGTTTTCAGCACCCACTGGTGGCTGCTCACAATTGCCCATAACTCCAGTTTCAGCAGATCAGATCCCCTTCTGACCTCCACAGGCCCCTGCATGTACACAGTGCACAGAAACTCGGGCAGGCACATGTACATGGACATTCACAATAAATCTTATTTTAAACAGTATCATCTTGTGTGATGAAATGTGGTCCAGCCAGGTTTCTCTCTGTCTCTCTCTCTCTGTCTCTGTCTCTCTCTGTCACTCTCTCTCTCTCTCTTTCTCTCTCAGCCATTTAGCAAACTCATTCCCATCTGTAACTTAGTTCCCCTTTGCCATGATATATGATACAGCCACAGGTTCTAAACATGCACTGTGTAATTGGGGAGGGGGCAGTATTGTGTCTATAAGCACCAACTTTTTCCAGCAGAAGGAATGTAGCAGGGACTGTTGTCTGTCTTGTTCATTGCCATGTGCCTAGACTGTTCCACTTAGTGAGCAGGTCCTTACAATGGACTGAATTCTGCCCCCTCAGTTGCGTCTGCCGAAGTCCTAGCTCTCAAGTGGAGGTGTTTAGAAATAGCCTTTGAGAACTGAAGGAGTCACAAGGACTGGTCAGGCTCTAATACCAGAGTAGTGGCAGAGAAGAAAGACTAAGTAGGTTAAGATGAAGAATAGAAAGTGGCTGAGGAGCAAAGAAGAGAGAACGAGGTAGTGTCTCCTCTACTAAGCAAGGACACAGCAAGAAGGCAGCCATCTGTAAGCCAGGAAGAGGCCCCTCACTAGGCCGCAGCCTTGCTGTCTTCCAGACGCCACCCCCCAAACTGCTCTCAGGATGTTGTCTCCGTCTCCACCCACCTATGGTATTTTGATGTGGCAGCCCAAGCAGACCAACATTACACCCGATAAATACTTGTTAAGATAATCAGTGAAGCCGGGCAGTGGTGACAAACACCTTTAATCCCAGTACTCGGGAGGCAGAGGCAGCCAGATCTCTGTGAGTTCGAGACCAGCCTGGACTACAAGAGCTAGCTCCAGGACAGCCTCCAAAGCCACAGAGAAACCCTGTCTCAAAAAAAAGATAATCAGTGAAAAGTTGACTGTAAGCATTGCAATATCTAATTTTTACCACACATCCAAAGTGCAGCAAGTATTTGCTAAGCACTTTGCAACATTTCATTTAATTCTCACAAGATATCTGTATACCAGATACCAGTGAGTGACTCCAAGTTTAAAAATGGAGGTTACTCGCCTGAGGTCAAGATTTAGAAGACAACATAGACAGTCTTGGCAGTGTGGCTTAAGCAATGCCTGTAACCTTCACAGTTCCCTGCTACTATCATGGGGCAAGGGGCACCTCTGGATCTTGTCCTCAAGGCGCCTATAATCTAATCAGAACGGCAAAAGAACACAAAAGCAGCAGCACAAAGAAGGCTGTGAGGGGTGTCAGGATGGAAAGAAAATGACCAGAACTTTCTATGGAGCTCGGAGAGAGGGAATTGAATGGAATGGGAAGGATTGTGCAGATTCTAGGGATGGGGAAGTTGAGCTGATCTTGGAAACAGTCGGCATGGTTGGAGTTAAGCCGAGATGGAGGAACACAGAACAAATTGAACTATGATCTGAACTTAGTTGTTTGGAGAACTGTGATATAGCTACATAGTAAGGACTGGGATCCCAAATGCCAGACTGAAGACGGAAGGGAGAGTTCACAAGATTTGGGAACAGTTAGTGGGGAAAAGTCACCTGAAGCAACTGCTAAAAAGTGATCTGAAGCTGTCACTCAAAAGGTGAGAAGACAAGAGAAAAATCAACTTCTTGCTGGATAAATATTGTCAAATGACATTAGATATCATTTTCAATTTTCTTTTATTTTGCATGTATGTATGTTTTGCCTGCATGTGTGTGTGTATACCACGTGCATAGAGTGCTCCTGGAGGACAATTATGTCACATCTCCTGGGACTGTTGGGCTCTGCCATGTGAGTGCTGATGATTGGACCTGAGTTCCCTGGAACAGCAGTCAATATACATTATCACTGAGCCATTGCTCCAGCCTCTACTTCAGTCATTTTAAAAGGGTAATTTTTGGCCCACCCAGAATTCAAGATTTAGAGCACAATTTGATATACCTTGGATCAGTGGTTCTCAACGTTCCCTTTAATACAGTTTCTTGTGTACTGGTGACCCTCCTAACCATAAAATTATTTACATTGCTACTTCATAACTGCAATTTTGCTGCTGTTATGAATCATAATGTAAATATCTGATATGCAGGATATTTGATGTGCAAGCCTATGAAAGGGTCATTCAACATCCCCAAAGGGTTCTTGACGCACAGAATGAGAACCACTGCCTTAGATGTATATTGTTTGAAAAGAGTAACCATTGGCAGTGACAGTAACTAGCCTGTTCCTGACCTTTGGACAAGGGTGTTGGCTAGTTTTTATTGTCAACTTGACACAGCCTAGAGTCACCTGGGAAGAAATCTCAATATTGTCTGGATCAGATTGGCCTGGAGCCATGTCTAAAAGAAACCATCTTGACCTAGGATTGATTGGAGAGTACACTGCCCATTGTGGGTGGCGCCATCCCTGTGTAGGTTTGAGCTGTATAAGAAAGCTAGCTGAGCATGAGCCAGTATATGAGATAGTAGACATTGTTCCTCCATGGTTTTTTCTTTAGTTCCTGCTTGAATTCCTGCCTTGACTTCCTTCAGTGATGGACTGTGGTCAGGAAGTGGAAGCTGAAATTAAACCCTTTCTCCTCCGAGTTAATTTTCGTCATGGTATTTATCACAGCAACAGAAGACAAGCTAGAATAGCAAACATGAATTCTATCCTTTCCTTCTCATGGAGAAAGAAACCAGCTGAGAAGGCAAATGGCTTGCCCAATACTACACAACGATTAAGACTGGAACCCTGTACCCAGCTCTTATGCCCGTAATTGCTCCATGTCTCTTGACAGGTAAAGAGGCTACAAATGCATATTTGTCTTAGTTTACCACATGGCCAGCTTTTGGCTGCTTCAGAGTCCTCTCTAGGTTTGCATTGAATTTAACTAAGGAATTTGATACAGGGAGAGGGCCGGTGAATCTTAACTGCGAGCTCTTACAGGGAAATGAGAAGGAACATGCTCACCTCACCTGAAAGATTCCAGAAAGACACCATCGAGAGATAGAGACCCAGGGTTGTGAACTGAACCCAGCTGAATCTCAGAGAGCTGAGATTGTAAATTATGATAATAACACAGGTAGGTGGCTGTATGGACTTACTGGAGATGCTTGTAACATGCTCAGCAATTGCCCGTCACCTGGTAAGTGCTCAGAAAATTCTCAGCAGTTCTTACACGTCTATATGCAATGGCTCACATGTTCCAGGCACACTGAATCCAGAAGTTTCACTATCCGTTGGGATGCCCCCTCCTGCAACTGACAACAAAAAGAGAGCATTTTCAAGTAGTTTGGTATGAATTAAATGCACTTCAGTTGCCTCATCCCAGTCATCACAAGACACACATTTTTACCAAGAGGAATGATGCTGGTCTTCAAAGGTGTGTGAGTAAAATCTGAGAAAGATTCTGTTACCAAACCACTTCCTCTCAGCTACCCCCCAAAGAACAAAAGGTATTGGAAAGCATCACCATGGCAACCTCCTAACAGTCAGATGACAGCAGAGTGAAAGTGAAGAGCACACTTGCTTCATCGAGGACTGGAAGGAACACACAGTCAAACCGCTTGGACAGCAGTTTTTGTCACATAAGCGTTTGCGTAGGCTTTGATAACCTAGTGTTGCTGTGTTCAGAGCATACTAACTATAACTGCTCTAGGTGATTGATAGTACACGGCAGACCTTCTCAAGAATGTTTAGCTCAAGCAAAGGGAGTTCACAAATCCAGGTGATTACCTAGCAAGTATTCAACAGCAAAGCCACATTTACCCCTTTTCTTCTTTCACTCTGTTTTCAGGACCCTTGACTAATCACAAGGCTCGAGAGATTAATCTCCTGTTTTACGGGAGCATCTGTGAGGACAGAATTTATGACAATGAACTCTGGGTCACAGACATAAGTACGCATGGCTCCTCCTAAGCACTGAAGTAATGGCAATGGAAAGGTGAGGTAATGTATGGTTATTGTCATGGTTTGAAATGGCTTAAATAGATGGATTTATATTACCTAAAGCCTATTTGCTGCCTGCACAATTGTTAACGTTTAACAATGACACTGGATGCCTGCAGTAATCTTGGTCTGTGAGTGGGTTTTGTATGCAACTGTAAACCAGTAATCATGGCCATATCCTGCATACGCCATACTATCCCAATTGCTACTCTGTTTCCTCCCCCACTCCAAGGCTTCTGTTCATCCAGTCTTCTTAGTTAATGACATGGGAGTATGGTGCAATTTTTCTTTAAAGGTCCTTCCTTTGAGAGGTTTGTTTACCAACCACTCCTCTTTTACACTACCTTCAATTTCCCCATTCCTTGGGTATTTTTGAATACACACTGATACTTCCTTTACGTCCCGCTCTTACATCACAAGCAGTTTAGCTGAATTGCCTTTGTTGAGGCCAATCAACAGAATTACTCAGCTGGCCCAAGGACTCTTTTTTAAAAATCTAAGTTAGAAACAAGCTTGTTTTACACGTCAACCCCAGTCCCTCCCCCTCCTCCCTCCCCTGCCCCCACACCTGTCCCCGATCATCCACCCTTTCTGCTCCCCAGGGAGGGTGAGGCCTTCCATAGAGGATCTTCAAAGTCTTTCACATCATTTGGAGCAGGGCCTAGGCCCTCCCCCATGTGTCTAGACTGAGAGAGTATCCCTCTATGTGGAATGGGGTCCCAGATGCCCCCAGGCCTCCTAACTGACACCCACGTTCAGGGGGTCTGGGTTCATCCTATGCTGATTTCCCAGCTAGCAGTCTGGGGTCCATCAGGTTCCCCTTGTTCAGGTCAGCTGTTTCTGTGGGTTTCTCCAGCCTGGTCTTGACCCCTTTGCTCATCACTCTTCCCTTTCTATAACTGGATTCCAGGAGTTCAGCTCAGTGCTTATCTGTCTCTGCTTATGCTTCCATCAGCTACTGGATGAAGGCTCTAGGATGGCATGTAAGGTAGTCATCAATCTCATTATTGGGAACGGTGTTTCAGGTAGTCTCTCCACTATTGTTTAGATTGTTAGTTGGCGTCATCCCTGTAGATCTCTGGAAATCTCCCTAGTGCCAGATTTCTCTTTAAACTTATAATGGTTCCCTCTATTATGGTATCTCTTTTCTTGTTCTCCTCTATTATTCCTCCATCTCAACCTTCCTGCTCCCTCATGTCCTCCTCTCCCCTCCTCTTCTCCCCTTTCTCCTAACTCCCTCTCCCCTTCCCTAAAGCTCCCAGTTTGCTCAGGAGATCTTGTCCCTTTCCCCTTCTCTGGGGACTCTATATGTCTCTCTTAGGGTCCTCCTTGTTTCCTAGCTTCTCTGGCAGTGTGGATTGTAGGCTGGTAATCCTTTGCTCTATGTCTGAAATCCATAAATGAGTGAGTACATACCATGATTGTCTTTTTATGACTGGGTTACCTCACTCAGAATGGTTTCCTCTAGTTCCATCCATTTGGCTTCAAATATCAAGATTCCATTGTATTTTTTCTTTTTTTTTATTTAAATTAGAAAAAAGCTTCTTTTACATGTCAATCCCAGTTCCCTCACCCTCCTCTCCGCCCCAGCCCCAGCCCCCCACCGATTCCATTGTATCCCTCCCCCCAAGTAGTACTCCATTGTGTAAATGTACCACATTTTCTCTATCCACTCTTCAGTTGAGGGGCATCTAGGTTGCTTCCAGGTTCTGGCTATTACAAATAATGCTGCTATGAACATAGTTGAACAGATGTCCTTGTTGTATGAATGGGCATCTTTTGGATGTATGCCTAAAGGTGGAATTGCTCAATCTTGTGGTAGACTGATTCCCATTTTCATGAGGAAACGCCATACTGATTTCCGAAGTGATTGTATGAGTTTGTGCTCCCACCAGCAATGGAGGAGAGTTCCCCTTTCTCCACATCCTCTCCAACATAAACTTTCATTGGTGTTTCTGATTTTAGCCATTCTGACAGGAGCAAGATCTCAGATGGCTAAGGATGTTGAGCACTTTCTTTTTTTTTCCCAAGACAGGGTTTCTCTGTAGTTTTGGAGATTGTCCTGGAACTCTCTTTGAAGACCAGGCTGACCTCAAACTCACGGAGATCTGCCTGCCTCTGGTATTAAAGGCATGCACCACCTATGCCTGGCCATTGAACACTTTCTTAAGTGTCTTTTAGCCATTTTAGATTCCAATGTTAAGAATTCTCTATTTAGTTCTGTATCCCACTTTTTAATTGGCTTATTTGGTGTTTTGGTGTCTCGCTTCTTGAGTTCTTTGTATATTTTGGAAATCAGCCTTCTGTCAGATGTGGGGTTGATGAATATCTTTTCCCATTCTGTGGACTGTCATTTTGTTTTGTTGACTGTGTCCTTTGCCTTAAAGAGGCTTCACAGTTTCAGGAGGTCCCATTTACTAATTGTGGATCTCTGTGTCTGTGCTACTGGTGTTATGTTCAGGAAGTGATCTCCTGTACCAATTTGTTCAAGGGCACTTCCAAGAGTGACTGGATTTATGTTGAGATCTTTGATCCATTTGGACTTAAGTTTTGTGTATGATGATAGAAATGGATCTATCTGCAGTCTTCTACATGCCAGCATCCAGTTATGCCAGCACCATTTGTTGAAAATGTTTTCTTTTTCCATTGTGTAATTTTAGCTTCTTTGTCAAAAGCCAGGTGTTCCTAGGTGTGTGGGTTAATATCAGGTTTGATGGGGAAGTCCTGTGTATATGTCAATAAAGCACTGTTGACCAATAGGGAAGTAAGATAGGTGGGACTAGGAGTTGAAGAGGATTCTGAGAAAGAGAGACACAGACAGACATCATGTAGCTGCCATAGGAGTAAGACCCTTTCTCCAGTAAGAGAAATACTTAGATTAACAATTATGGGTTAAATACTTAAGTCAGAGCTAGTCAGTAAGAACAAGCAAATGGCCAATGACTTCATAATTAATATAGCGTCCTGTGTGTTATTTGGGGACTGCAACTGTGGCAGGGCCCAGGCAGATGGAGGGAAAGGCTACACTCTACACATGGAATCTGTAGATTGCTTTTGGCAATATTGCCATTTTTACTATGTGATCCTACCTATCCAAGATCATGGGAGATCTTTCCATTTTCTGGTATCTTCTTTAATTTCTTTCATTAAAGACTCAAAGCTCTTGTTACACAGGTCTTTCACTTGTTTGGTTAGCGTTACCCCCAAGATATTTTTTGTTGTTTGTGACTATTGTAAGAGTGATGTTTCTCTGATTTCTTTTTCAGCCCATTTATTGTTTGTATATAGTAGACTGATTTTTTAAAGTTAACCTTTTATCCCATCACTTTGCTGAAGGTGTTTATCAGCTGTAAGAGTTCCCTGGTAAAGTTTATGGGGTCACTTATATAAACTATCATATCATCTGCAAATAGTGAAAGTTTGACTTCTTCCTTTCCAATTTATATCCCCTTGATCTCCTTTTATTGTCTTATTGCTCTAGCTAGAACATCAAGTACAATATTGGAGAGATATGGAGAGAGTGGACAGCCTTCTCTTGTTCCTGATTTTAGAGGAATCATGTTGAGTTTCTGTCCATTTAGTTTGATGTTGTCTGTTGGTTTAATGTATATTACTTTTATTATGTTTAGCTGAGTTCCTGTTATCCCTGATCTCTCCAAGACCTTTATCATGAAGGGGTGTTGGATTTTGTCAAAGTCTTTTTCAGCATCTAGTAAGATGGTCATGTGGTTTTTCTTTTTCAGTTTGTTTATGTGATGGATTACCTTGATGGATTTTCATATGTTGAACCATCCCTGTCTCCCTGGAATAAAGTCTTAATCATGGTTGATGATTTTTCTTATGTGTTCTTGGATCTGATTTGCCAGTAGTTTACTGAGTATTTTTACATCAATATTCATGAGGGATATTGGTCTGAGTTCTCTTTCTTAGTTGTGTCTTTGTGTGGCTTGGGTACCAAGGTAATTGTAGCCTCATAAAAAGTGTTTGGCTATGACCCTTCTGCTTCTACTTGTGGAACATGTTGAGTAGAATTGGTATTAGCTGTTGTTTGAATTTCTAGTAGAATTCTATACTGAAACCATCTGGCCCTGGGCTTTTTTTAGTTGGGAGACTTTTGATGATTGCCTTTGTTTCATTAGGGATTATAGGTCTATTTAAATTGCTTATCTGTTCTTGAAATAATTTTGGTAAGTGATATCTATCCAGAAAACTGTCCATCTCCTTTAAATTTTCAAATTTTGTGGAGTACTGGTTTTCAAAGTATGACCTTATGATTCTCTGGATTTCCTCAGTGTCTGTTGTTATGTCCCCCTTTTCATTTCTGATTTTGTTAATTTGCATGCTCTGTCTCTGCCTTTTGGTTAGTTTGGATGAAGGTTTCTCTATCTTGTTGATTTTGCTCAAGAACTGACTCTTTGTTACATTGACTCTTTGTATTATTTTCTTAATTCCTACTTTATTGATTCCAGCCCTCAATTTGATTATTTCCTGGTGTCTATTACTCCTAGGTGAGTTTACTTCTTTTGGTTCTAGAGCTTTCAGTTGTGCTGTTAATTCTCTAGTGTGACTATTCTTCAGTTTCCTCATGTGGGCACTTAGTGCTATGAAGTTTCTTCTTAGCACTGCTTTCAAAGTGTCCCATAAGTTTGGGTATGTGTGTCTTCATTCTCATTGAATTCTAGGAAGTCTTTAATTTATTTTTTATTTTTTAATTTTTAATTTTTTCCTTGACCCAGGAATGGTGCAATTGCGGGTTATTCAATTTACATGCGTGTAGGTTTTCTGCAATTTGTGTTGTTGTTGAATTCTAACTTTAAAGCATGGTGGGCTGATATGATACAGGGGTTATTCCAATTTTTTTTGTACCTATTGAGGTTTACTATATTACTGAGTATGTGGTTGATTTTAGAGAAGGTTCCATGTGGCACTGAGAAGATGGTATAGTCTTTTGTATTTGGATGGAATGTTAAACACAATTGGGTCATAACTTCTGTTTGTTTCTTTGCTTGTTTGTTAAGTTTCTATCTGGTGGTCCTATCTAGTGGTGAGAGTGGGGTATTGAAGTCTCCCACTACAGGAGATTTTTATGTGTGGCTTGAGTTTTAGTAATGTTTCTTTTACGAATGTGGATGCCTTGTATTTGGGGCATAGATGTTCAGAATTGAGACTTCATCTTGGTGGATTTTTCCTGTGATGAATATGAAATGACCTTCTTTATCTCTTTTGATTGATTTTAGTTTAAAGTCTAATTTGTTAGATATTAGGATTGCCATATCTGCTTGTTTCTTGGGTCCATTTGATTGGAAAATCTTTTCTCACCCCTTAACTCTGAGGTACTGTCTGTCTTTGAACTTGAGGTGTGTTTCTTGTATGCAGTGGAAGGATAGATCCTGTTTTTGTATCCATTCTGTTAGTCTGTGTCTTTTCATAGGTGAGTTAAGACCATTAATATTGAGGATATTAATGACCATTGATTGTTAACTCTTGTTTGTTTTGGAATTGGTGGTGGTGGTGATATTGTGTGTAGATTTCCCCTCTTTTTTTTCTTTTGGGTGTTGGTAAAGTGGGATTGTCTTTTGCCTATGTTTTTGTGGGTGTAGTTAACTTCCCTGGGTTGGAGTTTTCCTTCCAGAAGTTTCTGTAGGGCTGGATTAGTGGATATGTATTGTTTAAATATGGTTTTGTCATGGAACATCTTGTTTTCTCCATTTACAGTAATTGAAAGCTTTACTGGGCTGGCATCCATGGTCTCTTAGTGTTGGTAGAATATCTATCCAGGACTTCTGGCTTTCCATGGCGAAATCAGGTGTAATATGTTTGCCTTTATATGTTACTTGGCCTTTTTCCTTTGTTGCTCTTAATATTCTTTCCTTATTCGGTATGTTTGGGGTTTTGATTGTTATGTGGCAAGGGAACTTCCTTTTGTGGTCCACACTATTTGGTATTCTACAGAATACTTTCATTGGCATGTCTTTTTTTAGGTTGGGAAAGTTTTCTTCTATGATTTTGTTGAATATGTTTTCTACCCCTTTGAGGTGGTTTTCTTTACTTTCTTCTATACCTATTAGTGTTAAGTTTGGTCTTTTCATGGTGTTCCATATTTCCTGGATATTTTGTGTTAGGGATTTGTTGCACTTAAGATTTTCTTTGGTGGATGAATCTATTTCTCCTAGTGTATCTTCAGCGCCTGAGATTCTCTTCCATCTCTTGTATTGTGTTGGTTATGCTTGCGTTCTGTAATTCCTGATGATTTACCAAGCTTTTCTATTTCCAAAATTTCCTCAGCCTGTGTTTTGTTTATTGTCTCTATTTCAGCTTTTGAACCTTGCACTGTTTGAATTGTTTCTTGCAATTTTTGGTTTGTCTTTTCCTCTATTTCTTCAATTTTTTTGGTTTGCTTTTTTCTTCCATTTCTTTTGTTGTTTTGTTTTGGTTTTGGTTTTTCAAGACAGGGTTTCTCTCTGACTTTGGAGGCTGTCCTGGAACTAGCTCTTGTACACCAGGCTGGTCTGGAACTCACAGAGATCTGCCTGCCTCTGCCTGAGTGCTGGGATCAAAGGTGTGCGCCACCACTGCCCTGCTTTCTTACATTTCTTTAAGGGATTTTTCTCATATTCTCTTTGAGGGTCTCTCATCTTCATAAAGTTGTTTCTAGGGTTGTTCTCTTCTGGTTTATCTGTGTTGAGATGTTCAATCTTGCTGGTATGGAGAGCCTAGTGGCATCATATTGATCTTTCTGTTGTTGACTGTGTTCTTATACTGTTGTCCCCCATCCCTTCTTCCAGTGGGTACCATTGAGGTCTTTCCCTCTCCTGGTGGGTACAGGACCAGGGTTCTCTTCTGGTGAGTGCAAGCAGGTCCAATACTCTGATGGTTCTCCTCTTCCCATAGGTGGAGGCGAGACTAGGTGTTGGCAGACTCTGGATGAGCTGGTCCATCGAATGGGTTCCCCAGGCCTCAGGAGACTCTGAGCAGGGTACCAGAAGGCAGGCCAGAAACAGGCCCATGCTTGCCTCCTCCCATCGGTGGAAGCGGGACTATTATTGCTACTTCGTCAGACTTTGGATAGGCTGGTCACTGGGACAGGTTCCCCTGTGCAAAATCCCCAGGCCTCAGGAGACTCCAAGCAGGGCAGTGCCCCAACGACTGTTGAGCAATAAAACCTAAGTGGTTTTATTGGTTTGTTTATTTATTTGTAAAAGTAAGGTTCTGGTTTAGTTACTGAATTTTGTTGTTATTTGTTTGATGCCCAGCTCATAAGAAACACCCAATAAATGTTTGTCTGACTAGGCTTAACTGGAAGATAAATTAATACCACCAGAGGCATGATTAAATATACTCAGTATAGCTTGACATTGGAACACTAAGCAGCCACTTAAAAATATGTACAGTCATGGGTGGGGCATACACCTGAACACAGGAATTTGAGAGCAGCCCATGCAGCACAAGGAGACTCTGGTATGGTCTAAATCTACGATGTCCCTCTTGAACACTTAGTCCCTGCATGGTGGTGCTCTTAGGGAGGCTGTGGAACCTTTAGGCCTTGAGGCCTGGTTTGCAGTAATAGGTCTCTAGGCCAGGTTATTCTTGTTTTGGGTTCTGGGCTCCTTCTTCTGCTTCCTGTTCACTGAGCTCTAGGCAGCTTTCACAGCTCGCTCTTCTCACCACAGAGTCACTGGGTCATCCCTTCTCAGCCCAAATAAGCTGCTCCTCACTAAAGCTGTCACAGTGACTAAAAATAACTAAGACAGACCCTGTGTAAAATTAATTAATCAATTAATTAAAATACAAACAAAAGCACAAAGAGCTGGAGAGATGGCTTTGGCTGTTCTTCCAGAGGACCCAGATTCAGATCATAGCACACAGGTTGCTCAGCTTACAACTGCCTGTAGCTATAGCTCTGGGAGCATCTGGATTTTGTGAGCACCAACACACATCACACACACACACACACACACACACACACACACACACACACTAATTCTTAAAATAAAACTACAAAATACTCAAAACAACAACAAGAAAAAAGGCCCAATGAATAAAGATCTCCTTGGCTGATGGTTGAGGCTCTGGGCATTTTTCTGTATATACATCATATATCATGAAGTATGCTATTAAGTGGCATGTATTGCATGATCCTAGTTGCTGTTTGGAAACACTACATCGTTATTACATAGAAAAGGACAAGTACATACATGATACTGGCAAAAAGTGACTTAGGTGATAGAAATAGCTGATTTTATTTTATTGTCTCTTGTACCTCTTTACCTAAATATTTTGCAGTTAGGGTTATTGAGATGGCTCATCAGGTAATGGCACTTGCCACCAAGTCTGATGGCCTAATGATGTAGATGATGTGGATCCCTTATGGTAAAAGGAGAGAACCAAGTCCTTCAACTTGACCTTTGACCTCCACATGTGTACCGCAGCATGCAGCCTTGTGTGCATGTGTGAGGGCACACACAGTAAATAAATAAAAATGCAAGTAAAAATCTTGAGAGCTTTCAATGATACTTTTACAGTAATTAATCTAAAAAGTCTGCATGAAATCTTTTTGGTCCAAGACACCTAGTATGAGCTATCCTGATATGACATTTCCTGTCTGTTTTCCTAAAGCACTGGTTACTTCTCTGAGGAGGGCACATGGGAAGCAGGCGACACAACTGGGCTTTGTTTGACACCAAATGAATGTGCTGAGTACCCCCATTGTCCCAAACAGCTCTGTTTTGAAGCTCAGGGTAGGCTGCTCTCCGTGCGTGGGTGGAAATCTGTGATCCTGCTGGCATTGCAGAAGCTGTAAATAAATCCTGCCTCCGCAAATTGGTGGGACCTTAGGGGCTGGCTGTCTTAGGGTTTCTATTACTCTGATATAACACAACAACCAAAGACAACTTATAGGGGGAATAGTTTGATTACACTTCCAGGTAACCTTCTATCACTGAAGGAAGTCAGGGCAAGAACACATGCAGAGCAGGAACCCAGAGGCTGGTACTGAAGCAAAAACCATGGAGGAGTACTGCTTACAGGTTTGCTTCTCATGGCTCAGCCTGCTTCTTAGAGCACCCAGAACCAGCATTCCAGAAGTGGGACTACCAATAGCGAGCCAGGCCCTCCCACATCATCAGTCAAGAAAATCTACCATGTGCTTGGCCACAAGCCAATCTGGTGAGGGCATTTTACCAACTGAGGTTCCTGCTTCTGACACGACTCTGGTTTGTATCAAGTTGATATAAAACTAGCCAACCAGAAGCCTGCCAAAGCCCTCTTCTTTCCCGACTCAAGCCTTTCCTCTTACTTTGTATTAATGACTGGTGTTTGCAGTAACGCTTCCCTGAAACCTCCTCTGGCAGGAACATGATGCCACAGACTATGCCGTGCAGAAAGCTGCAGTGACTTCAGTCCCCCGCAGTTTCAGGCACAATGTCTGCTACAATCCAGGTGGGACCAACTGAAGGAGCCCCCCCCCCTTAGAAATTTACACTTCACCCATCAAGTTCACCAACTAAGAATGGTGCCCACTGGAACTCTCTCTCACCATTCTGGAATACAGGAAAGCCACCACTAATATGGGAAAAGAAAAGAGTAAGAGATGCCACTGAGGGGACACCAACCGAAAGAGTTAATGACTACGGTGGTTTGAAAGAAAATGGTTCCCAAGGGGAATGGCACTATAATGAGGTGTGGCCTTACTGGAGGAAGTGTGTCACTTGGGGTGGGGCTTTGAGGTCTCTTTTGCTCAAGCTTCCCTCAGTGTGACTTTCAGTCAACTTCCTGTAGCCGGCACGATGTAGCACTCTCAGCTCCAGCACCAATCTGCCTGCTCACTGCTCCCCGATATGATGACAATGGAGTGAAACTATAAGCCAGCCTCCCCAAGTAAATGTTCTCTTTATATGCGTTGCCATGGTAATGGTGTCTCTTCACAGCAATAGGAACCTAAGTAAGACAATGACATTGCTGTGACTTCTATATCCAGTAGCCCCTGAAAGCAGAACTGAAAGTCAACTATCCTGCTGTTTTGTTACTTGGAGTAGGAGGCATATACCTTGCTGTGGAAAGAGTTCTAATACAATTAGCCTGTAGAAGAAATCTTAGAGCCACTGAATAAAGACTTGGAGAGATTCCACCTTCTCCAAGCCAAGGCCAACTACCTCAGCATCTACTGTAATCCTAAATATTTGTTGATAGGGGGTAGAGAGTCAGTGCTTACTGAGCATCTACTATGTGTCAGCGCCTGTGCTGGGCTCTGTCACACACAGTCTAATCTTCCCAATGACCTTGGATGGTAGGCTTTATTACCTACTTTTTGGAGTTTGCTCAATGTTTACTCTGCAGTTCTTTGGTGCTGAGGCTCATGACTTTTGGTCTTCTCACATCCACCAGCCCTATAAGTCTGCTAGGAGTGTTCAGGACGTAGGGCTTGGAGGAGTAAACATCTCTGGGACTCTGTGCACAGCTTTCAACACATTTCTAATTCTAGTGCATTTATGAAATGGCTGGCCTCCAAGATCTCCAGTGCACATCGGATATCATTTGACTGTCTGTTACAAGACTGTTTCCACAGCTGCAGGAGCTTGTTCAACCCAGGAGCAAGCTTAGTGGCTGCGGCAGTGAGGGAGGCTAATGCCCTGGGAGACAATCGAGAGAGAGTCAGAGTGAGTAAGTGGACAAGGCAACTTCACGTTTCTTAAAGACCAAAGCAAAATTAACTCCACTCACATGAAGTGGCCACTTGCCAAATTTGAGACAAATTTATTGAGCTAAAACCCTCGGTTTTTCCTCCGTGTTCCAGTTAGCCTGATCTCTCACTCCCAGTTCCTAGAATTGCTTCCCAGATAAATTACCTGCACTCTAGTCATTGCGGTTCAGGTTGCTTTGATGGGGAATCCAAATCAACAGACTTAGGACTTCTAGAAATAAACAGCATTTTTGCTCTGACTCAAAAAGGAAAAGTTTGCTGCTGTGGAGCCTATTGGGAAACAAGCCCAGGCACAGGAGAAGAAAGGTCCTGGGGCAGAGGCTAGTTGTAAACTGGGACTCTTCTAAGAAATACTCCCTATATAGAACTCCTTTGAGAAAATACTGAGTGTGGATTCAACATGCATGGAAGGAAATGGAACACTGTTGATTGTTTTTCTCTTCTGAGGGACTCTTCAATGGAAGCTCCCCAGATCCTCCTTGTTCATGCTACCCAACAGTCTTGGCCAGCCCCTCAAGGAATCTCATCTCCTGTCACTACAAATAAGGACATGCTCCTCTTGAAGTTAGCTATTGATGATTAGGAGGCACAGAATGGTAGGTTATGGTGTGACCAGTGCAGTTGTAATGGTTGGTCTTGAAGGTCAACTTGCCTGGATTGAGAGGCTAGTACCAACGAACTGCATCTTTGTGTCTAGGGATTAGGGACCAGCCAAAGAAACACACCCGGAGCAGAGCCAAAGAAACACACTTTGTCCCTGGAATCAGAGCCAGTGAAAGAAATGTACCCTGGCCCTAAAATTAGATCCAAATGGCTAAAAAGGACCAGAGAAAGAAACACGCTTTGGCTCTGAAACCAGAGCCAAATCTGACCCTAACCCTGTGCAGAAAACTAGCCAATCCCTGAGCAGGAGATTAAAATCGGACCAATCCCCACCCTGGAAGCCCTATATAAATCCTGTGTCTGTTCAAGGTTGCGGTTGTTTGTCGCAGAGGGCAGCCACTCTCCTGGATTCTTTTCCTCCCAATAAATCCCTTGGATGAGCTTTGGGTGAAGACCTTCTTTTGCGGGCAGAGCAGAGACGACCTTGAGCAGAGCAGAGCGAGCAGGGCTGTAACACTTCTGCGGAGAAACCTTCCCTTGGCAGAGCAGAGTTGTTACTCTCCCAGGAGCAGAGCTGAACTGTAGCAACTTCCCCCAGAGCTGAACTGTAGCAACTTCCCCCGGGGGGAACCTTCTCCTGCTGGAGCAAAACTACTACACTGGGCAAACATCCCCAGCTGGGGGAAATCCTCTCCTACCAGGGCAGAGCCTTTCCCTGAGGCAGGGCTGTAAGCAACTACGCTTACTACAACCTGTGGGTAGCCCTTGGCTCCCGAGCTCCAGGATACCTTTCCATCTGAGCTACGTAACACTCGGTATTCTGTGACTCCTGAGTGCCAGAATACCTGTCCCATCCGGTACGTCTAAAACGCCTACATTGTGTATCTACGGGGATATTTCTAGTGAGGATTGACATTTAGGAAAGTAACTTGGGGAAGAGAGGGAAGACATGCCATGCATGCAGATGGCACCTTCCAAGGGTTTGGATAGAAGG